AATCTTCAAACATGATTAAAGGGGTGAAAGTCAATCCACACCAAAGGGCCAGTGTGCTCAGTTCCCACTAAAGGACCTCTCTGTCCAGAGCTATATTTTAATCAAACGTTTAAGAACATGAAGACAGTCTTTTGAACATCTTGGACAATTTCAAACAGTCTGTCCTCTGGTCCACTGTGATTTAACCACTACACATAAAAAGTTGTTGACCTACATCGGTTGGATCTTAACAACAGTTTTTCTGATCACTATCCCCTCTCCCAACTGGGGGCTGAGTGTAATTCCCCCTTGTACAGGGTGACGTCTGAAGATGCTTAGGAAAGCCTTCTTTGGTAGTTGTCAGAATCCCAGCTTAACTCAGATAGGAAAGCAGGGCACTGTGGAGTAGAGAGAAGACCGAAAGCAGGGGACGGGCTCAGATCTCTCAGGTCTCACTCACAGCTGTGGTCGCTGGTCAGCAGAGCTGTGGAGCTCTGGCTACACAGCCTGATTTCAGACTGTTCTCACTGGTGCTTGTCTGTATGCCCTAAGCATTGGCAACCGCTTTTGTCACGACAATTTGCAGTTTTGAGTCTTTGCATATGCTACATTTCCAAAGCTTCCAGGCTTTCGTGCTCTGAGCCTGTATGCTTCCCCACTGACAGATCTTGTTAACTTGTCTAGGAAGAGACGGAGGCTGGCACACGGATGCTTGCGTGTGGGCCCAGCCAGGCTCTCTGCATGAACTCGCCCTGGAGGCTGGGGAAGGATACAGCTGGCCAGAGGCTCCTGGCTCCCATCTTCCAGCCTCTCTGCTGCAGGTGGCTCCGTGATTGCTGCCCAGCCCAAGGGAACACAGCCCACGATCCAGGTGCTGAGTCCAGAGAGAATGTTCCCTATTGAAATCTTGTTGGGAACATGGCCCCTCAAAGCCAGTCGCTGTGTGTTCTTCTGTTTTGTGGAAAGACCATGGCAAATGTCTAACAAAAGTGTTTAAACAGCCCCTTTCATTTTTGGTGATTTGTGTAGGGAAAAAGAGTTTAAATCTCATGACTGTCTGTAACAGAGAAAATACATGAAATCCAAGACTGACTCTTGATCATACGATTATACTTAAACATAGACACACTCATATAGAGTATGTTGTATCTGTGTATACACTGTATATATTTCACAGAGTAGAGATGAAAACAGGTGAAAAATCACAAATTATTCTTTATATTTATAATATTATATATAATATTATATATTCTTTGACTTGAAATCTCTGAATAGAAAACTATACTTTAAAAATATAATAATAGAGAAAAATTTTAAAATGGTGTTGCCTGAAATGATGAGACCCAGAAGAAAACCCAGAATTCCTTTTAATCAGTGCTATTTCTGGTAAGATTTCAAGGTGAGATACAAACTAAACTTGAGAAATCTTTTTAGTTACCGGAAAGAAATGGCCTTTTCTTGTGCTGTGCATTTTCACTGCTACAATTGTTTGGCGTGACGTGAAACACTTTGATAAATACTTTGTCTTCTTGCTTTTGAAATTTTTTCCTGAGAGCAAGAGTAACAGCTACGTATTTGATTATGTAAAAGTAATACTTTGTGTACCACACTTACTTGCCTCTGCCTTGTGAGATTAGGGTTATAAGCCTTGCCTCTCACTATGAGCGTGTGGCTATAAGAGATTTATTGAAAATTTGATTAGTCTGTGGCTGGGACAATAGAACAGCAGCCTCGATGATTGGACACTGCGGAGGACAGATCTGTAACTTCCTCTGATGAAGTCCACTGCCTGGGGGCCAACGGCTGCTCATTTATTTCGCCAAATTTAAATCAATCGTGGCGGCAATCAGACAATAAATTGCGTGTCCATCTCCGGTAATCAAGTTGGCATCTTCAGCAGCGAAGACTTGTACAAAGATTTCACAGCTCCGCTTTCAAACTGGATTTCTCTTTGTGCTAGCACACGCAAGGAGCAGAGACGGCGCTTAGCCGTAGGATAACATTCTTTTTCTCTTCTCTTCACACATTCTCTGCCTTACCACCTAGTAGTCCAGGCGAGGGTTTTCAGCTCCTGTGAAACTGCCACTTAACTGCTGGAGGGGGATTCTTTTGTCTGGGCTTTGGAACAAGATAACCGACTTAATCTTCCTAGGAACACGTGAGTCGCCATGTATCATTTTAATCTGTGAAACACTCGGGCCGAGTACTGTCACATGCCGATTTTGCTTTTCTATGAGAAAGTGACTCCCTGGCTCAGTGATGGATGGCTTGTTCCCTTTATACAACAGTCAAGATGGTGAATGCCCTGGGGTGACAGACAAGAGTGTGCAGTGGGAACCGGAGCAAAGCTGATGGCCCGGTTCAAGTTCACCTGACAAAGCCGGTGCAGTTTGCAAGCAGCATTCGAGAGAGGATTATTCACACTTGCATTATATTTCTGAATGCATTTTCTCTCCCGTGCAGCTGCAGAGCTCCGGCGCACTGGAGGCTTATGCACCATAATAAAGAGATTTCTTTTCTCTTTCATTCTCTTGTTTTTTTTTTTTTTTTTTTTTCGTGTTACACCTAGTTTCTACAGAACTGTTCAGGCTGAGGACGTCGTCTGTATATCCAAATAATACAGAACAAACACTTTCTTCAGAACAATGGCCCCATTAAAGTCAGGAACGCTCAAGTCAGTACTGCCAGCCTGGTAGTTCTCATCTCTGAAGGGGTAAAGACTAAATATTCTTAAGTTGAACTTAACTCCCGAAACTCAAGTGTTAAGACAAAATTCTGCATACTCAATAAGCGAGAGAATAAAATCAAAGTTCGTTCAATTTAGAAAAATGATAATGGAGCTTTCCAGAGACTTCCTCGAATTCTTAGTGTTCATCTGACGAATAGTGGGATACGTTAAAAGATGGAGAAGGAAACTGGACAGTTTTAAAGACTAGCAAACTAGGTTTCTGTATAAAATAAGGGTCGGATTGAGAAAATTCTGAATTTTAATTTTGTTCTAGCTGCAGAGTCATTTTTTTTTAACTCCAGTGGCCCAGATACTGCCTATTGCACCTTATCTTTGTGGCAAGAAGGTGCCATTGCCGTCACGGAACAAGACACACACACACACACACACACACACACACACGTCTCTGGCAGCTCCTTCCTTTCCTTAGTCTCCATCCCTTTGGTTAAGCAAAAGTGAGCCAAGTATTGGTTGTTTAAGAAGACGTTCTAATAAAAATGCAATAAAAACATGCTAGGAAATGAAGACGCTGCAGGCCCAGTGTACCCTGGCGAGGCATTTAGCCACGTCCCTAAGGCCCCCGGTGATTCCCAACCTGCCCTTTGGCCCTCCCCACACTGTCCCAGGACAGCACACTATTACAGGCTGTTACAGGCACTGTGGTTACTGCCTGACTGGCTGCTGGATTTCTCACCCAGCCGGAAGAAAACTGTCAGGTCCTCTGGAAGAGAAGGAGGAATCAAGGCCACTGACCCTCTGCCCAGAAGGGAGAAGCCTCTAGTAATGACTGTGTGAGAGACAGTGGATGCAGATTCCAGGTCCTGCTGACTACAGCCCCCACTGACTCCCCATTGCCACCTAACAGACTCCTAGCTAAACCAACCCCGATTTCCGACCTACAGAAACTGCAAGGTAGTTAAGGAATGCAGTTTTTAAGCCCTTATGGATTAGGAAATACTTGTGCTAGTGACAGTATTAGGTAAATAATAGAAAGACATTTAGCATTCAGCTCCAGTGTGGATAATATGGTCCAATCTTAGATTAGCATTGGTGCAGGCTGAACAACAGCTATCCAGTTATCTGAGGAGCTTAAATAGGCTGCCGTGGGTTGCAATGGGGCCTGGGAGAATAACAGCTCTTGGGTAAGATGTTTTTCACAAGAAAGTTGAAGAGTTAATTTCCAGCTAGCATACAAAACAACAGACTTCAGTATGACATTTTCTTTTACATTTTAAAAGTATTTTTATGACTGGTGTGTGTGTGTGTGTGTGTGTGTGTGTGTGTGTGAGGGAGGGAGGGAGGGAGGACGGGAGGGAGGGAGGAAGGGAGGGAGGGAGGAAGCGGGCATGGGAATGCTGCAGGGTGTGTGGAGGCCAGTGGACATCTTTCCGGAGCTGGCTCTTTCCTTCCACCGTTTTGTACACTCCAGAGTTTGAACTCAGGCCACAGGCTTGCACAGCGTTTTTATCTGCTGAGCCATATCGCTGACCCTATTATGACATCTTTATATGCTCATATCCCCTCCCCCCACACCGTCCTTTCCGATCACTTCTCTCCCCAAGTGTCTCTTCGGCCTTCACGTCACACATGTGCTTAAATTTAGATTGCACATATGACCAAATATGCAGGGTTTTGTCCTTTCCCCCTCCATGATTCTCGCGTGGTCAGAATCCACACGAGAAAGACACAGGCAACCATGCTGATTAAGCCAATTAAAAGTACGTGCGTCCTTTTATTAGCTGGCGACCAAGAATGGGCACATGAATGAAAGTATTTTGGGGTTGAAGCTCAGGGCAAAAGTCACAAGAGCATAACTCACAACAGAGTTAGAGGAGGGCCAGAGCAGCCTTGGTTTCTGGCAGGACATAGTAATTATGTCAGACATACCATGTCACTTATTCTGGACTTGTACCTTCTTCGGTTATTTTAGTAAGGTCAATACAACGGGACCATGGTCAAGGTCATGGGGATGTCAAAAGTGTTGCCAAGTCAGCTGTAACTGTTGGTGGGTAGAGAGCTGAGCAGTGTTTATGCAGATTTGAAATGGAGTCAGGACAAGATGGTATTTCCTTAGCCACTTCCCTGTGACTTTCCTGGGGAGATGGAAACAAATGTCATCCCAAACCAACCAATGACAAATGAAAGTAATCTAGGGTAGGTGCCACTCAAATCTAGGGTGGGTGCCATGCGCCGCGCCCCTGCGTCTGTGCTCTGTGCGCTGGTACCCAGTCGCGAGCTTCGGGCAAGGGGGCTGGAGGTTAAAAACACACAGACAGAGAGACAGCGACACGGGTCATCCTTGAATGCCCCCTTTATTGTGTTCAGGGGCAGATTATATAGAGATAGCCATGGCCCAGCCAAGCCCACCAGAAACCACTCTCCTGCCATCAGGAACTCCTGAAGGTCTCGTGCTCAGAGCAGCTGTAGGCACTCAGATCAGGGGATTACAAGAAATTCAGGATCTGGGGGTCTTACTGCTCCCAACAGGTGGTTCAATTTGACACGATGCAGGTTCATTTAGGAGACAAACCTCTGAGCATGTCCAGGAGGGAGTTTTTAGATTATGTTAACCCAAGTGGGAAGACACACCCCAAATGTGGGTGGTAGCCCTGAGGCATTTTCAGCCCTCCCTTTGTACAGGTCTTCCAGCAGGAACTAAAACTACTGATCTCATGCGCAGAAAAGGTATGGGGAAAGAATGGGCTGTGGTGACCATGGGGTACGTGATCATTCTTCCGTCATCTCTCATCGACTGAAATGCAGTAGATAGAAACATGGAAGAATTGGAAAGGAAGCCAGAACACAACGTTATCTGGTACCACACACAAACATGAAATAAAGATTGGTGAATTCATCTCAATAAAAAAAATTCTTTGTGGAACACAGTTTTATAAAAAGTAAAATGTCAAAAGAAAAACAAAAATTGGTTAGTTATCAGAAGAGTCTGAGCTTTTTATTTTATTTGTTTTTAGAGACAGGGTTTCTCTGTGTAACATTCCTGGCTGTCTTGGAACTTGATTTTTTAGACCAGGCTGGTCTCCAACTCACTGAGATCTGCCTGACTCTGCCTCCCGAGTGCTGCAATTAAAGGCGTGCACCACCACTGCCCAGCTGAGTCTGAGCTTTTTAAATGTACACAGAACTCTCAGGTTAGTAGGAAAACAGCAATACTGTCAAGCATAACGGATAATAACCAAAATCCTCCAAATAGACAAAAAAAATAAACACACACACACACACGCAAAACAACCCCCTCCAAACCCAAATCACAATGACTTAAACGACAGAAGTTTATTTTCAGCCGAGTTTTCTATCCTATATGTTGTCTTCACCGTACAACTCAGGACCTCCAACATCATATACAACTATACATCATATACAATCCAGTACAGCCCCTGACATGTTCCCGTGTCACAGGGAGCAAGGTCTGCAGAATCTTTTCCTGGCAAGTAAGTGTGGGCTTGGAACTAATGTTTTCCAATTCCTCTTGTAAGTCAATGGCTGGAACCATACATTTCCAAATTCTCTTATAAGTCAACGGCTGAACGGATCAATCACGCCATGCTGTGCGCCCTGCGGGAGGCAGATTTGATGCTTGGCTCCTGAAGGGCTGTCAAGCTGCCAACCTATAGCCTACAGGTTACTTGGTTTCTCTAGGGAAGGTCTAGCCAGAGAAAGACGGTGACATATCTCATTACATCTTGCGTGCTGGTTATTAAAGAAGTAAAATATCCCCCGCTTTCCAAAATTTGTAGTGACATCTTTCTGATCGACGGAGTGAATCTGAGGGTCGGTAAGATAGATGAGGCCTTTTCCATTGCCAGTCACCCAACCTAAAAGAGAACGGATACGTCTGAACACCACATGCACCAGAAATGTCAGCACATAAACACATGCACACCCGTGCAAGCTTACACGCAGGTGCACACACACATGCATACTTAAAGAGATACATAGAAAACTTGATCATCCTGGGGTTTATATTTAGTAAGTTTCTGCCAAGGAAGTGAAATGTGGTAACAAAAAAAACTGATTTTATTTGTATCCACTCAAGTGAGTAGATGTTTCTAGGGACCACTCTGCAACTGAGCCCAAGAGACCATAGCATGGATAACAAGATGCTCAAGTCACTCAGGAATCATTTGAAACATGCAGTAAAATCCATGAACTTAACTCCAAATAGTACCTTGCACACAGAACGGTCTATGAAATATGATTAATGATTAGTGAAATCAGTTGCAATATTCAAAATAAAAAGTAACCCCCTGCTTTACATACCTTGCAAATCCACCACGACGTCTCTGTGCTTAGAAAACTCATAAGAAAAATGGCCATAAGCCAAGCCATATTCTGTAGCTTTGTACTCAGTTTTGACCACTTTTGTGTTATTTGACAACTTGACGAATTCTCCCAGTATGTAAGGTTCCACACTGATGCATCCCTTGATAGTCTTGTCTTCCAAAATCTGAAACATAAAGATGGGAGGCAGTACGCACAGTGGTGAAGGCAACAGTCTCTGCAGTGGGCTGGATCTCAATTTGGGCTGAGGTTCTGCCTTGGAGATTTATTACTCCACACTTCACTTTTCTCAGAGGTGGGTCTAGGAGTCATAATAATAACTCTTTAGTTTTCTCAAAAACATTAAATGATGAAACAAATACAAAGTACCTAGCATTACCTGTAGCGTAAAATAAATATAAAGTGATTATTGTTCATAGATTAAATTTCTCACTTAAGCAGTTTGGTCACAGGGATTGGACAGATGGCTCAATGGTTGGAAGCGCTGGCTACTCTTCCAGAGGACCTGAGCTCAGTTTCCAGCATCCATACGTCGGTTCACATCTATAAACCCAGTCCTGGAGATCCAATGCCCTCTTCTGGCCTCCAGAGGCACAAAGCACACAGTGATGCACAAACAGTGTAGATAAAATATTCATACACGTGAAACAAATTAGGGCACAGGGACCTTGCTTCAGGCTGGCTTTCCAGAGCACGCGAGTGGAGCATGCCATGGGACTAGAGGCTAATAGCTCATGCAAAATTTCCATATGATGAGCTTGACTTACAGGTTAGGGTCAATGCCTGTAAGACTCTTGAATACTTTCTGATGTGAAGGTACAGATCAGATGATAGCTATATTATAAACGCTAAAAAAAACGAGTTGAAGTGTTTCTGGGCAATGAAAAAAATCATTACAAATATGAATACAGGAAGGAACCAGTCCATATTGGAGGAACAGGGTATTCTTGATCAAGAGAAAATGGGAGATTTGCCTTCATCTCTTTCAAGTGGTGTTTAGTGGAGACAGAATGGTTTCGATGTCCCTGGATCCAGGAGAGAGGAAGACAGATTGGGTCAAATTTAAGAATTTCCTGAATCTGAAATTTGAAAGTACTTTTTTTTTTTCCTTGCTAAGTGTGTTTAAGATACAGCTTAGTCTCGCATGGCTGCAAGGACTTGGAGAAAGAAAGACACAAGGGGTTTATGTATCTTGCTGAAGGGCTAATTTGTACAAAACACAACCTGGAGAGACCTTTGCAGAGACAACCCCAAAAGAGAAGTCTAGTGAGAGTGCTAACTTAACCAGCTCTTAGGGTCGACTGTCACTCTGCTGTCACCCCTTGGACTGTCTAGTTCAAGTGAGTGTGTTGGAGGAGGGCAGAGGTCACTTTCCTCGTGGATTTTTAACAGGAAGAACTTGATGAAGAATGATGAAGAAGTCTATTAACTGAATGCGTTAAGATCTTGCCAGGACCAAGTTAGAAGCCTGACTTGGAATAGAAATAAAACCTAATATCTATTTGTAGGTTTGTTTAATGAACCAAACTCATGCTTTCGAAGTCCTCACCAGCAATACTGTGGATGGGATGTAGAATATCTGCGTTGGGATCTTTTGTTCGTAGAGTCTCTTGTTAAATTCCGTCACATAGTGCTGCGCCGTCATCTGCCGCTCCACATCGGTGAAGTGGTGCCGCAGCCCCTTCCACTCCTTGTATTCCTTCCCAACGTATCTGAGGACAGAACACGGACGGCGACGTGTGAAATGATCACTCCTCCAGAGCGAGTGAGAGGGGATAAGGGACGCGCGGTTTAAAAGATATTTTCTGTTCCTCATCAAATCACTATCATTGTCTTAACTTCAGATTTAAATAATTTTGTAAGAGCCACTTCTGTAAGAGAGCAGAGCTCGTGCTAGCTGGCCTGAAATGGTTTGGAACGTGAAGGGACTCAGCCTACTCAAGGGAGCAGAGCCGTTCTTCACACCTCTGTGGAAACCAGGGGTCAACGTGGTGGAGTCTGGAGCCCGAGACTCTATCGTCTGCAGTGTGGTCTTAAAGAGGTCAATTAGTTGACCTCTATCCCTTCCTTGAGTGATTTCATTCTTGTGGGCACTAACTTTATCAACACCTATTACGGACACATCAATGTGTTAGTTCTGGGAGTACTGAGAAATGTATGAGATTGAAGACATAAAACTTTCAAGGGCTCAGAGTATAATCAGACAGAGACTATACACGGTAGTAAGGAATTAAATAAGGCAATAATGACAGTACTATATGTCACAGTAGTGATTATATTGCTGCCCTCAGGCGTATGTTTACTGATATATTGGGCGGACAGAGGCTGCGCGCCCCTTCCCTTTCTCTCCTGTCTCCGCTGGCTACTCCGCTGGAACCTTGGTTTCGTGAGTCTGGTTTTGTTATTAAACTTGTTCAAATACCTATTACCTTGGTGATTTATTAATCCGACCGCTGCAGTATAAATTTATTAGTAATGTCCCATGTGCTTGGAGGGACCTATAAAAACTAGAGGAAGTTGTCAGCATTGTAAACCATAACGAGAGCAACCCCCCCCCTTTAGAAATCTCTGGCTCTATAGTTCTGAACATGCAGACTCGTGAGTGTGAGAAGAGATCTGACAGCGAAAAGTGCACACACAGGTGGAGCCTCCGCAGCATCAGAAAGCATCCCAATGATGCTCTGTTGGGATGTTCTGAGAGGGACACCCCAGCGCTGAATGCAGGTCTGCAGAGGCTTTGAACCAATCCAGAGTGTTTCCTTTATTGACAGAGGCCAGAAGTGTGTACAAAAGGGCTACCCCCTGTGGGGTACCAGTACTGGAGCATTTCTGGGACTTTCTTCCGGAAGTGTGGCTCATCACTCTGAGACGAGAGGCACTTTTCTTCTCATTGTACACTAGTTTTCCTTAGCATGGATTTGTTAGTATCAAAACTGGCCGCTTTGAAAATGTCTTCATAGTTCTCTGCATTAGATATTTTCAAGTATGTGACTTCCATTGTTTGGGGTGTCTACTGTTGCTACTGGGAAGTCAGCTGTCTATCTAACTGATGTTTCTTTGTATGTAAATAGCCTTGCTTTGCTTTTTGGATTGACTGTAAGAGTTACGATTGGTTTCTTTGTTATGGGAACTCTGAAGCATCCAGCCACTCACAGGGCACAGCCCTGTGATATATGGAAACTGTTATCAATTGACTAATGATGAAGAAGGAAGTCAATATCTGAAAGCTTACATTTTGGCCATATCTCAACCCTTTCAAAATCTCATGAATGACTACTCAAGCAAAAGGAAATTAGTCCAATTATGCTGACGACACACGTTTTCCAGTAAATACCTCCCCAGAGGTTCCTCTTGGTGAAGATAGTGGACCCAAAACGCATTTCTCTGCTTGCCTTTCTTCTTCACTTTCAGGTAGTCCCCTAAATACACCACAGTTTCCTGGGCTGTCCACAATTCAGACTTTTTGGAATATTTTAGCAGAAGGGCGTCTGGAAAAAAAAAATAAGGTTAGACTTCTTTAAGCCGTTTTGAACAGGTCTTGGCACCCAGTGAGTACACTTTGCATGTTCACTGTAGGTTCCTGGCAGGAAATTCCATCGCTAGAGAAGCAGTTTTCCTGGTGAGTCACATTATGCGTCTTTCATGATAAGTGAGTGGTACACCCAGCAAACTCTTCCAAGGGCTCCCAACAGAAACCTTCTGAAGCCCGAAGCTAGAGACAAAAACTGTTGTACTTACTGTGTGCACGTTGGAGTTGATTGGGCTTTAAAACTCCTGTATTCTCCAGTCTCTGAAGCAGCCAGTCATTTTTGACTCCCGCCAGGAGTTTTTCAAGGTCATCGGGCTGCAGGGTGCGAGCTTCAAGGATCTCTTGCCTGGTCTGTCCAGGCAATGAGGCGAATGAACTTCTGCTGGAGTTGAGAAGAGACCATGAACTTTCCCCCTCTAAAGAACTGCTGGAAAAGGCAGTTGATTTCGGCCACCACTGTAAGGATGAGCTGGAGTTCTGGCTGCTCTTCAGCAGGCTCCCCAGGTCCTTTTCCTCCTCTGTGGTGCTGAAGTCCTCGCTGAGGACAGGGAAGGGACTGTAGCCACTGACAGAGGAATTGGGCCTCTCGTCTCTCTGACCTGGCCTCAAAGCACTAGGTCTGTGAGCGCCATCTTGGCCAGTGGGGTTGACCTCTGTGCTGTCAAGTAGTTGGCCTTCCTCATTCTCTGTGGGGGCATCAGGGTCCAGGCCCTGGTCTTTAATTGAGCTGCCCGTCTTTGCTGAGCCATCACTCTGAACAGAGAGACAAGGGGAGAAAGTGCTACTTATCAACCTTGAATGGCTGCCTTCTAAACATTCCAGAACTACCTGAGAGGGTGGCAGCTCATCCCCTTTGCTTTCTTCTGTTTCCCCTTCCGGGTCAACTGAGGAGGTGCCATCTGTAAATGCAGGCCCTGTGAATCTTTCAGTGATCTTTCCCCCATTTTTTCCTCCACACCCGTCTTTGGTGTCAAACTTGGTTTCTGGAAAGGGACCAACTATTTCACAGGTTTCTTCTTCTTGAACTGAAGGATATGTGGCCATGTCTGTGAACTTGTCAGAACTAGACAAGGACCAGGAAACAGAGCCACATGAAGGGCTGGATTGAAGAGAAGTATTCCTAGGTCCTCCATTTCTGGCATCCCAGTTTCTTTCAGGGCCTTCTAAGAACCCCGTACCCGAGGCCAAGCAAGTGTCTGCTGTGTTGAGAGGAACGATGGGTGTTAAGGACGTGTGTTTGTGCAACTGGCTTTGTGTAGACTGCAGACCGTGGTCTTTAGTTTCCTGATGAGAGACGCCATACAGCTTTGAAAACAAGTCTGTAGCTCTGCCCCTTCTGTCGGTCTTGGGCTCCTCAGACAGGGCCGTGGAGCACTGAGTGTCCACAAGATGTTCTGCTTTGCTGGAGTCTCTCCCTGCCATATCCTCAACACCACAGTTCACCTCCTCCCAGCTTGCAGAAGAGCTGAGGCCTGACAGTTTGCTCCAAGAACTGGAGCTACGGCTGTCACTCAGAGACGTGTGGGGAACATTTGCCCTGCCATTGCTCTGGCTTGGTAGCTCAGTCTCAGTCCCCATATCTTGACCTAGGGAGACTCGAAATGCCTCAGAATGGGTCCAACTTTTTCTCCTTACCCTTCTGAGCTTCTCCTGGTCTTTCTCAGCCATCTGGGAGGAAGCTATACTCCTGCTCCCTTGAGAACACAGTTCCTCTAGAGTAGCACCCATAGTATCCATGGTGTTTGTTTCTGTTTTCAGAGCAGTGATGCAGATGTCTGGTTTTGTGTCTCTCTCATTGCCTTTTCTGTTCCCGCAGGTGCTTTTAAATACCTCATACACGGAAGTATGGTGTTGGGAATAGGTCTCAAGAATTCGCTGGAAATCCATGTGCCCGTGCAAGATAGGCTTATCCAAGCCACATTTGAAACTCTCTGGGACGTAAGATCTCTCATCTAAATTTGGGAAGCTTTGAACTTGTAGATGTCTCTTCACCCGGCTGACAAGAGACATGATTTCCCGAGACAGGGCTTCTCGGTCCTGGCTGGTAGAGGAAGTGCTATAGGTGTACAGCTTCTCCACAGCTTCACTGCACAGCTGCCTTGCAGCACGGACCACATCTGTCTCCCCATGGAGCCTGCCGTGCACCGTGGCGAGGCCGAAAGCGGCTTTGATGAAGCTGTGCAGCTCCTGCTTCCCATTAACCAGCTCTCCATCTTTCTTGGTCAGGAGGCCAATCTCAAAAGCCTCTTTGGCATCATACAGATACCCACTTTTCAATCCTGGGGGACAGTCAATAGAGCTACTATATGACAATAAGCACGTGCCACGGATATTCTGTGGAAAAGAACATGCAGGTCAGATAGTGCACCGAGTACTAGATACATTTCTTCTTTTCTTCTTTTCTTTTTCTTCACTTTTGTTTTTGAGACAGGGTCTCTCTTTGTAGCTCTGGCTCTTCTGGGGGCTCACTTTGTAGACCAGGCTGGTCTCAAACTCACAGAGATCCACACTAGCCTCTACCTCCCAAGTGCTGGGATTAAAGGTGTGCACCACCACCAACCCAGCAACCTTTTTAATTCCTGGAGGATAACCACTTAAAATATTACAGAAAGAGAGAGATACACCACAGACATTCTAAAGAAGCTTCCCAATGTTTAATGGGGGGGGGTGAATTTTGTTTTGGTAAGTAAGAAAGGATGGCAACAAGAGCCATTGACTGGTATGGAGGATAAGACATTATCTTTACCTTCCATCCTGCCTCAGCCCTGATGCTTGTACACTGAATATGGCAGACTTGTGACCTTTGCTGATATTCATTTTAGCAAATGATACATGGCAGTTGGGTTGTCTGTCTGATTGACTTGATAAGTCTGTGAAGACTTACCAGAGACAACATAAGGGATGCAAGACCCACCTTGAGGGTGGGTTGTACCATCCAATAAGCAGGAGTGAGTTTGGAATAAGGAGGATGGATGCCTGCTAGCACTAGTAGCCATGAGGCTGAACCTTTTGTTCTTGATAGCTCCCGTTACCAAGGCATTTTATCTAATCTCTGGACCAAAGTGATAGAGCCAGAGAGCCACAGATGGAAGCCTCTGAAACTGTAAAAAGCAAAAGGCAAACAACACCACCAAATTTAAGGCAGAACAAAAATCAAAGAAGAGCCCTTTCCTTCCCTTAGATTACTTCTCACAGGATTTGTATTTGTCCCAGTGACGAAAGTCTCACGGACACAGTCCATACCCAGGATATAAACATAACTCATTTCTCTATGCAGTAAGGGCATTGATTTAATTATAACCCAAACAACAGAGTAGTGGGCTTTAAATCTATCTGTGTATCGAATCCGTGTACTGGTTTCCTATGTGGATACCAAAATTTGTGGATGCCGATGTCCCTTGCACAAAATGGTACACATGTAAAACATGTACACACATCCTCTTGAGATCACTTCTATTGTATAACACGGTGTCAATACTACATTGTCTGGGAAAGACAAGAACAAAAGGCCCGTCTGTACGTGTTTTCTACAGACGCAAAAATTTTGATCCAAAGTTGTTGAAATAAATGTAAAGGTGCGAACTTACAGATATGGCGTTGAATATGGTGTTAACAAGGAATAAGTTCATTGTTAAAAGTTATGTGTGTGTGTGTGTGTGTGTTTACGTGTTCATGCACATGCCCATGGAGTCCAGAGAGGGTGCTGGATTGCTTGGAGCTGAAGTTACAAGGCTGCTGCAAGCCACCAGATGTAGGTGGTAGGAACCTGCACAGGAGCAGTACTTGCCCTTAACCACTGATGAAAGGTTTTGGAATGTTAGTCCAAGGGGTTTTGACATTTAACAGGCACAGAGCAGATCCCGGGAAACACATGTTTTGAAAAGGCTCCTGGGGTGGTAGCCCTAGGAACCCCTTGCTCTGGAACGAACAGCCTTATACGCTTGGACTGAAGTAACCCGGCTGCCATCAGGATCTGGTCCTTCTGACCAACAGCACTTTCCTCACGCGGAGTCTTAGCATAATTGCCAGCGAGGAGCCAGCATCTACTTCAAGGTTAGACTTTCCCCTCCCTGCTGCATGGGAAACCCCGTATTTACCACAGCTGTGAGCACAAACAGGGGCGTGTAGGCACTGAAGGCAGCTGCCAGTTTGCAGGCTTCGGCCGCTGACAGCAAATGGTGGTCAAACTCCTTGAGCAAGGCCTGTGGGGAAAGGGGATGGACAGTGAAGCAGCAGGTAATATTTCTGCATCGGGAAGACAAAGCCCTTGACATTGCAATGCGTTTCTTTCAAGATGCCCAGGGATCCCTTCTTTTCACCATGAGCCTGTTGGAACAAGTGCTAAGAAACTCTTAGTGGGTCCAGAGCACCAGGTGTCCATTCCTCTAACTGCCTCCATCCCTATCCTGCATTCAGAATGCACAGGCTCTACCATGTACAACATTAGACAAAGTAAATCAGATGAGCCTCTCCGGAAACTGGGGAAACCACAGTTTTGTATCCAGACTGATGGGTGATCTCCGTGCTCTTCTTGCCAAGGGTTTCTTTATGGCTTCATACCAACGAGGATTCGTTCATTCATTCTGGAAACATTGATTGGGCCCCTCCATGGAGCCAGACACCGTTCTAGACTTGAGGAGACAGTGGCCTGTAGGAGCTCATTTTGTATTGAAGAAGTGATCAGCACAAAGTTATGAAAAAGAATGGTAATATTAGACTATACGGAGCAAATCCCCAATGCTCTGCTTTGAACAACAAAAATAATGGCTTGTGGATCTCGTTCTCAGGGTCTGTCCACCCTTTTTTGTTTTGTTTTGAGACAGGTCTCTCACCAGGAGCTCACAGATTCAGCTACAATGGCTGACTAGCAAGCACCAAGGTTCTTCCTGTGTCTCCAGCACTGGGATTATAAGCACGTGTTACCATGCCTGGCTTTTATGTGGGTGTTGGGGACCAAACCAACTCAGGTCCTCATACTTATATGGAAAACGCTCTGCCAACCAAATTCTCTCCCTCTGTCGCCCCCACTGTGGTTTTGTTTTAAAATTATTATCCTTTTATCGCCAAGTTTGCATAGTAAATTTTGTAAAACATGGAAAGGAAATGTATAGTAACTGAAAGCCGCTCTGAGGATAATCCTCTCATTCATTCGCTTGAACATTTCCACGCCCTTTGTATATTTGATTCAGTGCTAGAGGCTGGGAAGACCAAGACAAATAGGACCCATCAGAGCTGTTCCCATGAACATAGGAGGAACTGTGTGCCCAGCCCCTACTCTACTGGGAAAGAAGTGGGGTAACCAGAAGCAGCATTGACAGGCGTCCAGGGCATGCCACTCTGAACCATGCTTTTGACCAATGACAATTACCAAGTTGACCTGTGGGTTGTTCTTAAACTTTTCATAATCTGCTTTGCTCATGGAAATGAAGATGTCCGCCAGGATACCCAGTGATGTGGAAATGCCCTGTAAGGAAAACAAACAAATCAGACTGGCATTCTCTCATCTTGTGGCCTGCAGTCCAGGGCTCCATCCTAGGTGAACTATCTGCCAGTTATTATCCTATGACTATGATGTTGAAGATACTTTTGAATTAAACATCTCTGGGCTTGAGAGACATCCTAAGGCATAATGAGGAAATGTGGTTACTTTGAAGTTGGGCTTTACTGGGTCATCAGCACTAATTTACCTAATTAATAGGCCTCAATAATTGGTATGGGAAGAGATCTTCTACTACTCTCTGTCTGGGTTGCAGAAGCGGATAGGCCTCACTCACTGACACAGCTCTGGGAAGTGGAGGCTCAGGTAACGAGAGGACAGTGCCACAGAGAGAACGAGGCGACTAACAGCAAGGCAAGGGTTGGCTCAGTTTCTTAACAATGTTATCACACACACACAATTAAAAGGAGCTTTGCTCACTGGACGCTTGGAAAATGACTTCTTACAGAAGTATCATGGCCATCTCGGTTTTGTCACAGAACCAAGTGAAGCCTAATATGTGACAGGATGGACCCAGTGGAGCAGAGAGCTCAATTTAGAGTTGGATGGTTGGGAATTATTATAGAAACCTGCCATAGGCCAAGACTAACTATGACACACGAGGAAGTTCCCTGATGTCCCTGGTCCTGTGCTTGTGTAGGTAAAGAAGATGGTGCTGATAAACTTGATAAGTCATAAAATTAATTGTGTTGTAAAGAGACAACTATCCGAAGACGAGCAGGGAGAGGAGGCACTGCATGTCATGTAGGCACACAACCTTTTTGTCTGGCTGAGGGAGCGTCAGATAGCCTACGACGGAGGCCCATATCAACTCTGCAGCTTCGTACCACATGCCTGAAAAACAGGGGAAGAATAGGGCTAGACCGTCAGCATCTGTGTCTTAGCGAACAGATAAATAATGAACAAGTAATCATTTATAGCTATAAATAATAAATAGAGTAAACAATCAGGAAGAACTTAGAAAGCAAGGGCATTAGGAACAGTCCTTGACTTCTGTTAGGAGAACCTAGCATAGGGAGGACTGGCACCGCAATTTGTTTCTTCCTTTTGGCCGTACATTGATAACTTTCCCACGTCGCCACGGGACTTAAGAGTCATCAAGCATTTGGTATCTATCTTCATCAGGGCTACCACTGCTGTGATGAAACGCCATGAACAAAGCAACTTAGGAGGAAAGGGTTTCTTTCGCTCACACTTCCCACAGTGCTGTTCGTATTGAAGGGAGTCAGGACAGGAGCTCACACTGGGCAGGCACGAGGAGGCAGGAGCTGACACAGAGGCCTTGGAGGGCTGCTGCTTACTGGCTTGCTCCTCATGGCTTGCTTAGCCTGCTTTCTTATGGCACCACTGGTTCAGCAATGGCATCATTCACAACAGGCTGGGCCTTCTTACAAAAATCACTAATTCAGAAAAGGCTTGCCTACAGCGTGATCTCATGGGGGCATTTTCTTAATGGAGGCTCCCTCCTCTCTGATGACTCTAGCTTGTGTCAAGCTGATGCAAAACCAGCCAGCACAGTCTGTAACGCACACATACATAAACATATAATCTATGGTCGTTTCCATTATTTATAAGAACGATAGTTACCATCTTTTATTATAATTTCAAAACCTTCAGTTTGCCTTTTCGTCTAATTAGGGTTTGAAAACTTTACTCAAAAAAATCTGTGAGCGCTCCAAGGATTGTGTGAGTAACCACAGTTAGTGAGTAGCCACAAATCACAGCTGCAAACAAGGAATGTGTGAGAAACACAGTCAGTGAGTAGCCACAAATCATCACTGAAAATTTGGCTAACAATACAGAAAAAAATGACTTTCTTTCATTAATATTCATTTTTGGTTTGCTTGCTTTTGTTTTTTGTTTTTTTTTTTAATATTTATTTATTTATTATGTATATAATATTCTTTCTACGTGTATGCCTACAGGCCAGAAGAGGGCACCAGACCTCATTATAGATGGTTGTGAGCCACCATGTGGTTGCTGGGAATTGAACTCAAAACCTTTGGAAGAGCAGGCAATGCTCTTAACCGCTGAGCCATCTCTCCAGCCCCGGTTTTTGTTTTTTTGACACAGGGTTTCTTTGGGTAGCCCCATCTGTCCCGGAACTTGCTCTGTAGACCAGGCTGACCTCAAATTCAGAGATCTGCCCGACTCTGCCTTCCAAGTGCTGGGATTAAAGGCATGTGTTTATTACTGCCTGGCTCTTATTAATATTCTTAAGCTATGGGCCTTTTTGAGACAGGGTTTCTTCGTATAACAGTCCTGGTTGTCCCGGAACTCACTTTTGTAGACCAGGCTGGCCTCGCAGAGATTCATCCGCCTACTTCTGACTCCTGAGAGCTTGGATTAAAGGTGTGCACCACCATCACCTGGCCATTTTAAAACATGGATTCTCACTATGTTGCCCAGGCAGGCCTCAGTCTCCTGGCTCAAGCTATCCTCCTGCCTCAGTATACAGAGTTGACTACACAGGTGTGTGCAACCATGTTCAACTCAGCTCTTAATATCTTAAACATTATTTTCATCTCAACAGAACAACTCAGGGAAGCAGGATGTGATGGTCTTGACCAGATATAATAAGGAAACGCCACAGTAAATTCTTTTAGCCAGCCTCCGTACATGAGCCCTGAGAGGAATGATGATTGACATCAGACAGTACCTAGTTTCTGCAGAATTTGTCCTCTGATCTGTATACAGACCGACTGCACCAGAATTTGGTCACTTTCGTTTCTATACAGCCAGGTACCTGAAATAAAAACAAAGACATTGCCTGGAGTCAATAAGGAAAGGGCAGGGTAAAAATAAACCTATTTTCAGAGATGTCTTTCTTCATGTGCATACATGATTTAGATCTGAGAGACAGCTCCAATCCCCGAACCTCTACAGGGGCCAGCTTCTATACAATCTGCGGCTGTTTGATCAATGGGTCCTGCTCCCTAGGACCTTCATCTGGTCTTTTGTTTCATGCACCTACCTGTACTCACATCATCCCAACCTTGGATGTTCTTCTCTGGCCTCTTAACAGTTCATCTTCTTTCTCAGACCCCAGATTCAGTGCTATTGTCTTGAATGCTCTTCAAGATCCTGACCCCAGGTTATCTTACCCATGGTGAGACCCCACTGTCTGTGGCTGCATCCTAGACTGCACGGTCAGTTCCAACCACCCAAGATTTGTTTGGATGCCGAAGGTGATGACTCAACACGGACCAAGAGAGAATTCATTGCCCATGTAATGATGCTTGCTAGGGAGACCTGGGCTGGCACTCAGGCTGGCCATTGGACTGAATGAAGGGAGTTGAGAGTGACTTTGGTTGTTTTATGTGGGCATTTGTGTGAGGCAGGTAAAATTCTAAGAAGTTGGGCTGGAGTTTGTGGATAAGTAGGCTGGGTTTTCAGTTTCGTATTAGCATATATTAATTCTTCAATGTAGGGAGTTTGTTATGACATTGCCCCACACGTATACATTGTACTGTGTACTCTATTATCCTTTTTGTTCTGTTTTGTCAACTGGCCCAGTGGGTGGCAAAACGAAAAGGGAGAATGGTAAATGTCAGTGGGGGAAAAAAAAATGGACTTGAGCTCTTCAAGAAACTACACTGTTTTCTTCCTAGTTCCTGTGCATGCACATATAGGTTGTGTGTGTGTGTGTGTGTGTGTGTGTGTGTGTGTGTAGGTTTTTCTGGCGGGCATCTATAGTGTAGAAAACAGAAAATATGAGCACCGTGGTTTTGTGCTGGCGGCCACAAAGGAAAGGCATGCAGTGAACGTTTGCACCCCAACATGTCTTCCACACACATGTTCACCCCACAAGCTTCAAGAACCAAGAACCAATGGATCTCAGCCCATTGAACTTCAAAGTTGACTGAAAAAACTGTGCTCAACTTTTTGGGAAACTTGCTGGCTGATCTGCTCAGGACTCCCAACAAAACCTCCGAAGGATTAAATGATCTGCTAGACAGCTCTTTTTTTTTTTTTTTTTTGGTTTTTCGAGACAGGGTTTCTCTGTAGCTTTGGTGCCTGTCCTGGAACTAGCTCTTGTAGACCAGGCTGGCCTCGAACTCCCAGAGATCCGCCTGCCTCTGCCTCCCGAGTGCTGGGATTAAAGGCGCGCGCCACCATCGCCCGGCTGCTAGACAGCTCTTAAAGCTTCATTTTATATGTTACTGAATATCAGAAAGAAAGTAACTTCAAAAATAACTTTTTATGGAAGTTGTTATACAGCAAAATGAATTTCCAAAACATTGAAAAGCATGAGGCCATAGGAGCATTCTTCTGAACCAGAACCCTCATCCCCAACCCCACCCCATGATTCTGGCCCGGGCTACCACTGAGCCCTTGTTGGGGCTCACAAACTGTCCACACTAGCAGTTATTGTGAGCTAGCTGAGGTGCTGTATAATAAAGCAATGAGGCACCAAGAATCTTTTGCTTTGCGTTTGAATTTAGAGAAAACAGAAACAGAGAGCAGTAAGAAGCTCGATAGAAGCCGCTTCATTCCTTATTATAGATCCAGTCCCAGGTAGTCCCTTGTAGCCAACACAGACTCAGCAGCTATAGATGAGGACCATGGCAGGGCCCGAGAGACGCATTGCTCTAAACATGTGAGACACTTACCAGTTGCTCCGTTGTTGCTTATCAGGCTGCTCAGGATGTACTCCGCCTTCAGCAGTTTCCCTGAGAAGAAGCAAGCAGACACCAACGAGTGGGTTCCAGACATCCACATATTTAATGATAGTTTCTGCTCTAGGATTGATGTGTTGTAACAGGGACCATGTCCCCTCTGGAAATACCCAGATCTAACATTTAAATCAACAACTACATCAAATATAAAACTGAAAAAAATTATATATTTCAAGAATTGGTAAACTGGGAAGTTATATAGTATCTGAAGGGGCAATTAGATTTACATTTTACACACACACGCACACACACACACACAGAGTTTATGGATACAGAGAAAGCAGGATATCAGAGGCAAACACAAGCAAAGGGTGCTTGTCTTCTTTCTGAGAAAGCTGTACCACAACAGATTACAGATGCCCAAAAACAGGGACAATTTACACAACAGTTCCTCACCTATGCCTAGGGATTTGCGGTTATCTTTTTTTTCCAAATATTTTGTTTATTTTGTTTGCTAATACATGGAAGGGACATTATGCTGTACAATATTCTTGTACACTGTAAAGATTTGTCACTCGCTCTCTCCTTCAGCCCGGCAAGATGCCCAAGGGAAAGAAGGCCAAGGGGAAGAAGGTGGCCCTGGCCCCCGCCGTCGTGAAGAAGCAGGAGGCAAAGAAGGTGGTGAATCCTTTGTTTGAGAAGAGGCCTAAGAACTTCGGCATTGGGCAGGACATCCAGCCCAAGAGAGATCTCACGCGCTTCGTCAAATGGCCCCGCTACATTAGGCCGCAGCGAGAGGGCCATCCTCTACAAGCGGCTCAAAGTTCCTCCTGCCATTAACCAGTTCACCCAGGCCCTGGACCGGCAAACAGCTACCCAGTTGCTTAAACTTGCCCACAAGTACAGGCCAGAGACCAAGCAGGAAAAGAAGCAGAGGCTGCTGGCCCGTGCTGAGAAGAAAGCTGCAGGCAAAGGGGATGTCCCGACTAAGAGACCACCTGTCCTTCGAGCGGGCGTCAATACAGTCACCACTTTGGTAGAGAACAAGAAGGCTCAGCTGGTGGTGATTGCCCACGACGTAGACCCCATTGAGCTGGTGGTCTTCCTGCCTGCTCTGTGTCGCAAGATGGGGGTCCCCTACTGCATCATCAAGGGAAAGGCCAGGCTGGGGCGTCTGGTCCATAGGAAGACGTGCACCACTGTTGCCTTCACACAGGTTAACTCGGAAGACAAGGGTGCTCTGGCCAAGCTGGTGGAAGCTATTATGACCAATTACAATGACAGATATGATGAGATCCGCCACCACTGGGGAGGCAACGTCCTGGGTCCTAAATCTGTGGCTCGAATTGCCAAGCTGGAAAAGGCAAAGGCCAAAGAACTCGCCACTAAACTGGGTTAAATGTACTGCTGAGTTTTCTGTACATAAATATAATTATAAAACTTCAAAAAAAAAGATTTGTCACTCATATTGGTTTAATAAAACACTGATTGGTCAATAGCCAGGCAGGAAGTATAGGTGGGGCAACCAGATTCGGAGAATTCTGGGAAGAAGAAAGACAGACAGTGAGTCACAAGCCAGATGCAGAGGAAGCAAGATGAGAATGCCTCACTGAGAAAGGGTACCAAGCCACGTGGCTAACCGTAGACAAGAATTATGGGTTGATTTAAGTTGTAAGAGCTAGTTAATAATAAACCTGAGCTAATAGGCCAAACAGTTTATAAGTAATATAAGCTTCTCTGGGTTTTTCCTGGGACTGAATGGTTGCGGGACTGGGTGAGCAAACTTAAGAGTACAACCTTATCTATGGGTTGTTGTTTTTCATAAACAGGAAACTCAACCACTTGCCTTTTAATTGCCTCCTCTTCTAATTGACTCGAAACCCCCTGCATCATGGGGACTCTGATACCTCTTTGTGCCCATGTTTGAGTTCTCTCTTTTCCCTTTCATCCCCACTCTGTCGCAGTTGCTTCCTGTTCTTCCTGCGATTTCTTGGCCTGGCTTTCACATCGCCATTATCCCATGTCGTAATGGTTTTGGCCCGGAATGCCATTATTCCAAATGTTTCCAAGACTTTCTCTCCCTCCTCCCCCTCCTCCTTCTTTTACTCTTCACTAAATTGTTATTGTCATGGGGCTGGGGATGACTTAGTGGTGAAAGCAGTGGCTGCTCTTGTAGATTTCAGGTCCCAGCACCTAATGCTGGGTAGCTCACGGACTCTTGTAATTCCGGCTTCAGGGAGTTCTGATATCCAATTCTGGGCCCGTGGGCATCTGTATTCATACGCATACACATAAGTGTAGGAAATAAAACAAAAACCTCTAAAAAATGTCACTGTCTCCTAGGGCTTTCCCTAATGACACAGATCGGTTGTGTCAGATTTCATTTCCAAATGACCTGTTTCAGCAATGACACATGTTCTAATAGACACTGCACACCTTGTCTAGTTTGTGCACCAAGAGGCCCATCTTTCTATGTTTAATTTTGCTTTAGAAAAATAATCTTCCAAAATATCTGTTTTGCCTACACTTTTAAATGATAGTTTTGCTGGTTATAAAATTCTAGGTAGGTTCAAATTATTTTGTCTCCGATTTGATTTTATTCCACTGCTTTCTGGGATATTTCTTCTTTTTATCTAGACTGTTTTTTTTTATATTTTTATTTCTTTCTTTGTTTTGATATTTTTTTTGAGACCAGATTTCACTATGTAGTCGTGGATGGCCTGGATCTCTGCATGTTCATCAGGCTGGCTTCAAACTCAGAGATTTGTTCATTTCTGCCTCCTAAGAGTTGGGATTAAAGGTGTATGTCGCCGGGCTGGAGAGATGGCTCAGAGGTTAAGAGCATTGCCTGCTTTTCCAAAGGTCCTGAGTTCAATTCCCAGCAACCACATGGTGGCTCACAACCATCTGTAAAGGGGTCTGGTGCCCTCTTCTGGCCTGCAGGAATACACACAGACAGAATATTGTATACATAATAAATAAATATTTTTTTAAAAAAAGGTGTATGTCGCCATGCTTGCCAAAGATTTATTTTATTTCTCATTATGTTGAATGTGTGTTTAGGGGTCTGGGATAGGGGTGGACAGGGTATATACAGGTAAGTGCAGGTGCCCACAAAGACCGGAGGAGGGCGTCAGATCCCCTGGAGCTGGAGTTATAGGTAGTTGTGAGCCACCTAACATGGGTGTGGGAACGGAACCCAGGTCCTCTGTAAGAGCACTATGTAGTTTTAACAACGGAATCATCCCTCCTTATCTAATGATTTTAGTCAGGTCTAATTGTATTTCCTATGCCAATGACTTGTCTTTTCTTCTTGTTTCCATTAAGACTTTTTTGTTATTTATTTTTAGTAGTTTTGCCACACTGGGTCCAGAAAGGGCGTAGGATTAGTTTACTCTTTCACTATAAAGATGTCTCACTTCTGGATCTCCTCAGTTCTGGAACTCCTGCTGTGTGTGTGTGTGTGTGTGTGTGTGTGTGTGTGTACGTGCACATTTTTTCTCTTTTAACTTTCAGAGTTCTTCACATCCCCATCTCTCTTCTTTCTTTATTCTCAGTATGTTCGTTAAATTCAATGGTCAGTTCTTTGTCTTTCCCTCCTGCCGTTAGTGCTGTGCAGGAATATATATATATAGGTCAGGAGGTCAGGGCTGGAACATCTAGGGAGCCTGTCCTAGAAAATGCACCTGGGTTTCCAGGCTGTTACCAGTTATGTAGTGAGGGGCACAGGGGGCACATGGTGTTAGCTGGTCCCTGGCTCCCCCTGTGGGCAGCATTGGCTCCAGATCTTCAGAAACAGAACTCATGCTTCCTCACATTCCCAGGGTGCCCCATTCTCTACCCAGGGCTTCCTTCACATGGTCAACGCTAAATGCTCCGCACCCACATACATACCCATTGTATTTGAATGATATGTAGGTGTACAGATGTTTTAGGGTAGTTTACAAGAGCCAGTCCTGAGGCTGTGTGTTTTAGTAGCACTTGTAGAAATGCCTTTGAGCAAAAGACGAGCTCACAGTTGAGAAATAAGACCCAGGTCTTTTATTTTAGATTCAGGTGAGTCAAGGAATAGACTTCCCATGACGACATTAAGGCTTCGGAAGGAGAAACACTCTCTACCGCCTATGTGGCAACAATGAAAAAACAAGGCAAAGGAATGTAGCTCAGTGGTAGAGCACTTAACTAGCAAACATGAGGCCATGGGTTCTATCCCCCCACGAGGGAAAATGTTCAGCTTTCTCTAGAGTTACTCAGGAAAAGTCAAGAGTAAGTCACAGGCACCATTTACAGTTAGAAGAATTTGCCAGAGTGGACTTGGGCTTTTGTGGTGCGTGGGCTGGAGCTAGGCCTTCCCATATGCCCAGCAAGCTACTCTACTTGCAGTTGTATTCCAGCCCTGACTGGGTTTTTGAAAAGGCAATCTCTACAAGCCCTTTCTCTCTCGTGCTATTTTATCTGTCCCTTCTGCGCTAAACAATCATCCCATTTAGTATAGTTTCTGCAGTTCCCTTTCAAAAGAAATGAAGTAAATAGACTTCCACCTCGTACAGACCAGAGTTACCAAAAATAACAGAAATAGTTAAAATCAAGCAAAAAAAGGGGGGGGGAGGTGGTTGGGCTGGTTCTCTCTCGAGAGGAGATTTGATTTCTGTTCCCATACTTTCGCTCCACGTTTCTAAATTTACAGATTATGAGTAATTAAAATAACTCTAGACCTGTGTGGGAGCGGGCTGGGCTGTCCCCCACCCACCCAGCCCCCACCTCAGCCCCGCTCCCCTGCTCCGTAAGTTGGCCTGTCAGCCTCAGTTTTCATTTCATTCAAAGTGACAGGGAGAAAAAAAGATACTTTCAGCCCTAATCAGGTACTGTACCGGTGTTCTCAATGATGAAAACCCTCAAATTGCTTCAGTGGGTTGTCAGCTCCATTGTCGGCTTAGTCAAGTGGCCCTACAGAAAGGAGACAGGAGAGCTAGGAGAAAAGAGTCGATTTCTAATCAGCTTTTTAAAGGCCCTTGGTCAGAAGTACAGCAATTCAGATGCCCCTGTTTGAAAGCAGCGGGACAGATTTGTTAGCAGACAAAGGCTCCAATTAGTATTTTCCACACCCTTTCACAATTTTCTCTCCTGCTTTTGGCTCTGAAACCCTTTACGCCAGGCCTTTGTGCCTGCAGAGAGGCGGGTGCAGGGGCAGCGCGGGCTGGGGCGGCCGAGGTGGCACCCGCCGGTGCCCGCCAGCGCCCGGAGAGGTCAAGTAGCTGGGAGCAAGCGGGCTGGGGACCAGCCGGCGCCAAGGGATGGAGCCCACCTGAGTTGACGGAGACCCGGGCTTGGCGGATGACCACCTGCGGGGCGATGGGCGTCGCGGGCTGCAACTTGTGCAGGCCTTTGGCGACCTGCAGGAGTTTTCCCGAGACGTCGAGTCCGTACAGGAACCGGTCCATCAAGAAGACAATAGCGGCGGCGGCGTCGCAGTCCCGGACAAGGATGGAGGCTCGCAAGGCCGCCTGCAGAAGCAGCCACAGGACACAATGAACCACACAACACCGCAACCCCCCCCCCCCCCCCCCCCCCCCTCCCCCCCCCCCACCCCCACCACCCCCCCCCCCCCCCCCCCCCCAAAGAAAGCCGTCCTGAACCAAGCCTAGTCATCTAGGTACTTTGAATTAAAACAACAGTCAAGCTTGTAGCTAGTGGGAGAAGTATACTTTAGTGAGCGATAAAATCATAAGGAGGAAAAAGTAATTAAGGAAAAAGTTCACTTCTGTTGATAAAATAGTATTGTCTTCATTGCATTTCCCCTCCAAAGTCTAAAACCATGCCGGTGGAAAGTGCATATTTCTTGTTAAATTAAAACAACACAAACGTGGACACAGACTGGTATGCCGTCTCCCCGCCCTCTGTCTCCTCTGGTGCCTGTCCTCCCTGATAATGATTTAGGTGAACTCCGTCTGAACAGGCGCGTCCCCTTCTATGTGTACATAGACATTGGTTCTTGGTCTTGCGTGGCATCTTTCCTTCTCTTTCTCTCTGTCATTAATGAGATCACACTAGGCACACTGCTCTTTGGCCTTCTTAGTTTAGGCATCATCCTATCCGGGAGACCTTTTCATATCACTTTCTCTCTTCTCCCTCCTTCCCTTCCCCCCCTCCCCCCCCCCCCCCCCCCCCCCCCCTCCCCCTCCCCCCCCCCCCCCCCCCCCCCCCCCCCCTCCCTCTCTCTCTCTCTCTCTCTCTCTCTCTCTCTCTCTCTCTCTCTCTGTGTGTGTGTGTGTGTGTGTGTGTGTGAGAGAGAGAGAGAGAGAGAGAGAGAGAGAGAGAAGATTGAGAATTTCATTTACGCATACAATGCGGCTTGATCGAATCCACTCCCCTTCGCCTCCTCAGTTTCTCCTGTTCCCTCCTCTTCATTCATGTGTTCTTCCTTTTAAGCCACTGAGTCCACTTAATGCATATGGGTGTAGGACAATTCAATTAGGGACTGCATCCCTAAAGAAAACTTAATCTCAAACTGGGTAGCGGTGGCGCACGCCTATAATCCCAGCACTTGGGAGGCAGAGGCAGGCGGATCTCAGTGAGTTCGAGGCCAGCCTGGTCTACAAAGCGAGTTCTAGGACAGCCAAGACTGTTACACAGAGAAACCCTGTCTCAGGGGGAAAAAAGAAAAGAAAAGAAAGCAAGCTCAATCTCTCCACCCCACTGCCATCCATCATCAATAAATAGCTCCTCAGCTAGGGCTGTAACTTCATGATTCACTTCCTCAGCCATGCTGGGGTTATGACAAGCCTGACCACGTGCAGGTCTTTTATATGTAGCTAGAGCTGCTGGGAGCTCCTATATGCAGCAACATTGCCATGGCCAGCAAATACTGTATCACTGCAGATGTCCCCTGCCTCTAGCTCTTAACAGCCTTTCTTCCTCCTCCTGAAATGATCCCTGAGCCTTAGTGGCAGCTGTCCCATTTCGGGCTGAGCACATTGGCCTGGCATTCATTTCAAATGCACTTCCCAGCAGAAAAAAGCCCTCCTAATGGAGACAGAATGATCTAACACTGGCTGGTCTATGGCAAGAGCTGGTTCAACAGGAACAGTGTCGGGGCAGACTATGCACGTATGTTTAACATCAGCTGGCTTCAGTTCCTGATCTTCCCTCCTGCTTCAGCTTCTAAGTGTTTTGATGACTGACACGTACCACCACATCCACCCCTATTACATATATTTAATTAGAAAACAGTATATTAGATTAAAATTTAAATTTGATTTTATTATCCTGTTAATATAATCACACACACACACATATATATATTTACAAACAAAGGGGGGAAAGTAACGTGAGTGAGAAGTGAAAACAGGATCTAGGGCTCAGTTGGGAGAATGGTTGCTTCACATAGCTTGAAGCCCTGGGTTTGATACCCAGCAATGAGTAAACCAGATGTGGTAGCCAGTGTTCAATGTCATCCTGGCCTTTGTGGTGAACTAGAGGCCAACCTGGGCTAGAGACTCTTTCTTAAACAAAAGAAACAAGGAAGGAAAGACAAGTAAAAATAAACAGGGTAAATTTCTATGGAAAACACAGTTGTCTTTGTTGTTAGGGAGTTGATTATAGGGAAGCCAGTGATCTCATGGCCGCACAACTCAGTGTAAGTGAGTTCATATTCTGAACTGAACCCACCTGAGTCTTTTCTAGGTCTCTTTGCTCCCAGATGAAGCCAGGGAGGCACTGTAAGGGATCTTTACCCTCAATGGGCTTCATACTCAGCACTGGGCCCTGCTTTCTTCACAACACCATCCTAAGTCTTAACCCTTGACATACCAAGCTAGACTTCAGCCACAGCAGCACTCCGAGCATTCTGTGACTGATCTCCCAGTGGCCACAGCCACGCACCCCCCACCCCACCTCCCAAGGCCGATTCTGTTATTAACCCCATTTACAGGAGGGAAACCTGGAGGCTCAAAGAGGTTAAGTTTACATCACCTGGGCCTAGGAGCTGAGTAGGCGTGAGCGCGGGAGAGCCAGGTGCAGATGGACTAAGCTCCTGCCTCTTAGGCTCACTCTACCAGAGGACTCTGGCGTGTCAATTGTAGCGATGTTTCATTTGTATTTTAATAAATAAAACTTGCCTGAAGATCAGAGAGTAAAACAGCTGCCCTGGTCAGTCTTACAGAACAGGCAGTGGTGACGCACACCTTTAATCCCAGTAAGCCACATTAGTTTGTCCTAGAAACCAGGTGGTAATGGTGTAAGCCTTTTAATCCCAGCCCTAGAGGAATTCTGGATGGGACAGCTCTCAAAGACGGTCTCATTCTGAGGATTCCTGGAGGCAGGATCGCCATTTCAGACATTTCAAGCAGCTGTTTTGCTTTTCTGACCTTCAGGTTGAACCCCAATATCTGTCTCTGAGTTTTTATTAATTGTGATCCAGCCAATTACTTGATAACTATGCTCACCAGCACCATAGATGGAGTCAGTATTGCTGTAGGTGCTGATCTAAGTAGGGTGTAGGGTGTAACAGCACACTGAAAGAGTCCAATCAGAATTTAAAGAGTGGCGCATCCCTGAAAAATCTTGGTGGCTGTTACAGATGTTAGCAAGAAAAAGAACCAGCTCTGGCTGGGCGGTGGTGCTGCACGCCTTTAACCCCAGCACTCGGAGGCAGAGGCATGCGGGTCTCTGTAAATTTGAGGCCCGCCTGGTCTACAGAGTGGGTTCTAGGACAGCCAGAACTGTTTCATAAAACAGAAACAAACAGATAGACAATAAGGACCAGCTCTTTTGGTCAAGGAAGTCTAAAACATGTAGTCAGTGGACGTGAGCTAAGGACAGTTTTCTATAATGAAAACTCGGGGAGCAAGGCACGTGGAGCCTGCGCACTGGCTGTAAGGAGCAAGGGCGTGAAAGCACAAGCTGGGGGAGCACGCTACAGCTGGGAGCAGTGCCCCGTGTTTCTGGGTTAGTAGGGCCATGAGTAAGGGATAGCGTCACCTAGCAGTGGTGACGTGATTTGAATTAGGTTTTTTTTTTTTTTTTTTTTTTTTTGGTTTTTCGAGACAGGGTTTCTCTGTGGCTTTGG